ATGCAATCCTCATGAGAAGGGTGCTTTGCGACTTCTTGAGAGGAAGACGTCAGTGCCAGGCTCCTATGCAACACATCCGATAGAATCACATCCGCGGCTTTTTCCGCGGCTTCCCCTGGTTGGCCCAGGAATGTCCTCATGGATTACCACGTGGGCGCGGCTTTGAGTGTGTCCTCCTGTGGCGCTTACCTTCAAAAGTCGCTCCTGGCTTGCAAGCTGAGTGAGCCGTGTTCAAAATGTGCCGAGCTGAAAAGACAGAGGGAGTTGGGCGATTCAACCCCCTTCAAGCATTTTCTGGGCAACATCCTTTCTGTTCCCTTTACCGGGGGCCAGGGAGATGAGCCTGGACCTTTGCATCTAGGCTTGCGCTCATGATCGCCCAGGAGCATTTGCCGAGCGTGCAGGCGCATTTTGATTGGACGGTTGCCCCATTCGCGGGGCAAAGCTCGGGCCAAGCCTGTGAGTTGCGATTTTGCGGGGCCATAGATGTTGTCGAATTTAGAGAGTTCAGTTGCGAGTGTGAGAGATCAATTTCTGAAGAGCCTTTGCCCTTCGCAAATTCAATTCCCTTCCCACCAATCAACATGGAACCTGACCGGGACCCGGTCCCTTTAAAGGGAAGATGGTCCAAACCAGGACCCCACCAAAACTTCAGGTTCCATGTTCGGTGGGCGGGTACTAGTAGAAGGTGTGCCGTGTAGTCATGGGTCCTTGTTCAACGGCCAAGTTGCTCCGGACTTGGCACGAGGGCTACCGAACACCAAGAAGGGCGACTCTTTCCAAAGTTTCTGGGTGTGTCTTATGGATTTCTCCTTTTTGAGGGCGCCTCTTTTCCGCCTTTTCGAGAAACACCACCTACTCGTAACCCCAGGCCCTGATTTTGGCGCCAGAGCTGCGGGGAGGCCTCCGGGATGTCCGGTTTGGGACCAGTTTGGCGTGAGAGCCATTCAACGCAAGAGAACAGAATATCTCGAGGAACCCAACGTCTGAAGTGGAGCCGTTGGGTTTCTCAGCTTGGGCATGTTTGGACATGTGCAGGTCCTGACGCTGCTGCTGGTTCTGCTGCTGACATGCGCGGGCGCCAAGTGGGCCAGGTGGGTGGGCATGTTCACGAAGGAGGGTGTGTCTTTCGGAGACTTTTTTGCAAGGCTTGAAAAGGAAAACCAAAAGGAACCCTCACTCTCTCTTTTTTCTTGGGGGGGGGGGGGGGTTGTCTATTTCCGACACGCATAAAAGATGCATGAGAACTGGCCGAGAGGAGAGTCCATGAGAAAGACCAATCCCTAAACCCACCCGGCACCAACCCAACCATCCTTAGCCAATTACCAGGGTTTTGGGAACGAACCGTTTGGAAATTCCCTTAAAGGAAGCCAATCGGTTGGATGTTTTTTTTTTGGGGGGGGGCTCATTCCAATTCTCAGGAAATCCGCCTATCGAGCCAGCGAGATATGGCTGTGGGTCAAAACCAATGGTACCATTTTGGGGTAGGCACACCACCCATGCTAGCCTATTTTAGTGGGGATTGGGATGTTTACTGGGGGTAACCGGGGTTTTGACCCATGGACTGCCAAAAGTCCCGAAGCCATGGCTGAGGCATTCTCTCAGTGGGTGTGGAGAATGGCCTGAAGCGGGTCAACGGCTTGCTGGTTTTTGGACGCTTGGCCCGCCCCAGTCTGCATGGAATATCTGTGGATGGATGAAATCCGGTTCGCAGTGGGGAGGGATGAAACCCTGTGAAGAGCGAAGCGAAACCACCTACGAAGCTTCTGGACCGCAGTTTGTCCATCCACAGTTGGATGTGCGGATTTCTGCTTTGAGGTGTTGGGCATCGGTTTGGCCCAACCAATCGCCTTGTTGGACCCAGGCAAGGTCATCATTGTCATCTTGATCATCATTGCGGGGTGCACAAAGGTGCCAAATTCAATCGCGCGCGTTGACCGCGACATTTTCTTCACATGACCTTTCCGGGTGTTGGTTGAATGAACCGTTTGGGGATTCCCGAATAAAGGAAACCAAATCGATTAGCAAGGAAGCTTCCAGAGGGTCCAAAGTAAAGCGTGGCGACTGGTTTTTCGGGGTCGATCTCCAGGGTTGCTGTTTTTTTTTGAGAGTACATATTGTTTCTGGGTTGGCTTTTAAAGGGAAACCAAACAACAACTCCCCGTGTGTTTTTTTTTTGGGGGGGGGGGTGAACGGATCTACAGACAACTCATATTCATGGCCAATTATTCCTGAATCTTATTTTTCCTGGAGGTGCAGCCGTCCAATCTCAGCCCTATGTTCCCGCCCCTGTCTCAGCTTTGCGTCCGGCTCATTGCACATGACACCATGAAGTCATGTTTTCCTGCCACCCGACCTCTGAAGGCAGCAATCAGCAATCAGGATTGCAGTAGTTGGCTTGGAAGGGGTGGCGCTGATTTGCTTTTTCAGAGATGACTTGAGTTGAGGCATGGCGTCGGGCCGGTGCTCAGCATGCCCTGGCCTCGGAGATCCGTTCGCCCCCTACATGGGATACATGAGAGCCCAGCTCGGTCGGCGTATGTCGGCGTGCTCTGGCTTCCGGAAAGGTGAGGGGGAAACCAGAGGGAAACCGAAGCACTGCGGATCCATGGGGAGATCTGAGGATTTGCGGATTTGGCCCAGTGTGATCCAGAGTTCACAGTGCAAGCTGGGATCCAAGGTCTGCAACCTGCTCCTTCTCTTTCATAGGACATGGTTTGCCACCTCCGCAAACAAAAACCAGACCTCGTTTGAATCTGTCGCGCTGAGTGAATTGCTGGGCTGACACGGCCAGGATTTGGAACCGTCACCAATGCGGCGGAGGAGTGCGTCGACCCTCAACGCGCTTTGCCCATTGGCATCACGGTCTCGCTGCTGATTTGCCGCTTGGCATCCGGCTTCCGGCTCCGCCGGGCGAGTTTTACTGGCTGTACGTCGGGACCAAGATGCCGCGGGGTTTGGTTCGGGGGATTCTTCGACAAAGTAGCCTCCAAGAGTGAAGCAACTTGGCGGTTTGAGCCAGACACACGACAGAAAACAGAACAAGGCCAACCACACAACGGAAAAAGCCAGAAAAGCCAAAGACGAGGAGGGTGCTCTTGTCAATCATCCTATGGCCCCCAAGTCTATTTGAACCCTCTTCCTCCCCCTCCTATCAGTCAACGAGCTCGAAGGGAGCGCGCAATGCTCCATTCGCAAGCGGAACTGCCAAACGAGGGTGTTCAAAGGAAGCCATGCGGGCGTCAATCGAGGTATGTCAATCTCATCCGATCCCTCGCTTTTTGTCCAGCCCAGGTGCAGCTTTGCTGCGCGGCAAGAAAGGGGGCTCATGGGACGTGGGATGTGGGGATGTGCGTGGGTTTTCAGGGCTTCCAAAAGAGTGGAATTTGACTTTGGATATTAACATATATATATATATATTATCATATCCATACAGAAATAGGTATGTAGATATGTATATGTATATGTATATATGTATACATGTATGTGAATGTATATGTATATGGTGTTTTTGTGTTGTGGGGAGGTCCAGATGAGGGTTGCAGATGAACTCCCATTCTAGAGTCCAAATGTGCGGGCAGGTCTGGACTCTCTGTGCCTTGCTGGGTGCAGCCCGAGGTACATAATGTTTTCGCTCGTGCTCGTTGCGTGCTTAGAGGGTTGGAATGGCGAAGCGATGAGTGTCGAAGAGAAACTGCAGCATGCACAAGCATTCAATGTTGAGTTGTTGGCATGAGCTGTCGACCCAGAACTGCAGGTAGGGATCATCCCTTTCGAAGAGATTGACAAGGCACACTGCGCTTGAAATGTCGATGCCTCTTCCGCGCTTGGCTGAAAGTGAACACCTTAGCAGGCAGAAGCCCGACCTCTGGCTTCGTTCCAATTCGGACCCCTTTTGCTCACGTTCTTCTCAGATCCGGAAATCAACAAGCAGCAAGACACATCTCAAACAGCCAGACAAGCGCGGTCCAAATGGAAATCAACAAGTAAGGAAACGTCAAGCCAGACAAAAGAGCGGTCCAAATTTGTCGGGGCTTATGGTTCTTCTCCGCGGATTTGGTTTCGCGTGTGTCAGGCGGCTCCTGCAGAGGATGCCTTTGGCCCTAGGTACGCCGACATCCCTTGGGTGCCTCGATTTGGATCGGGAACGGATCCGCGAGCGGCGGGTTTCGTTTGCGTGGGACCCCAAAATGTCTCGTTGGTCTTCAAGGACAGGTTGCGGGTTGGTTTGAACTGGGCATTCAAAATGAGGAGCCGGTTTTGAGAGACCTCGGCAAGTCAAAGCGGGTTTGCTGTCGGGAACTCATGGGTCCCAACCTCCCAACCCCCAAGCCCGCAACTCAAGGGCAGGAAAGGAAGAGAGAGTTTGACACATCGTGTACGGAACGTCAGATGGTTCTAAACTTGAGGCCGAGGCTTGCAGATGGATCCCCAAATCGGGATTTGGGCTCAGTTCATTTCGGTTAACGGCACACGCCCTTCCAAAGTTCCATACTAGGTTTGTTCGTCTCCTCCAAACAGAACAAGGGTCTCCTTTAAGGTTCCGTGGTGCGATTTGTTTCCTGAGGCATCCGGCAGATCCTTTTTGCCGGACTTGCGTTGTTTGTCCAGTTTTGGAGAAGGGAACACTAGTCATGGGAATTTGCGGGAAGCCAAAGAGCCAGGGATACTGAAGATCCCTGCTGTCAAAATGATTCATCACCCTTCGTGGTATTTGATGTGCAGTTCTTTGTGGTATTTGATATGCAGTTAAGCAGCTTAGGCCAGAGCAAGGTTTGGGTGTTTGTTTAAGGGAGACCCCCTGTTCTGGTTGGTTGAGAGAGGCCCAAAGGAAAACCATCAAATCGGGGGATCCCCTAAAAACAGGACACGCTGCCCATCGGTTCAGCGGCTTTCCAATTTGGGGCTTCGGCGGGTGTTGCGAGGTGTTGGTCCTGGTGAACTGGGGCGCCGTCATTGGCCTCTTCACCACGCTCATCACTGGCCTGTACTCGCAGGCAAGCGAGCTGGCCGACTGAAAGGAGATGGGGGTTGACCAAAAGGTGCTTCCTTTGCCATAGAAGATGACTTTGCCCAAGGGGAAAAGTTACCCCTGGTCATATGGGGGTCTTTAACGGGATGCTTTGTATCCGTGCCATTTGGCATTTGTTTGCATGGGCAGGCCCGGATGTACCTGGCAATGGCCAGGGATGTGGCTCGGCTGGGGCGGGCAGGGAGCCTCCAACTCAGCGGTTTGGGTTGGTCGAAGTTGGGATTTCTTGAACTTGTGACGGGGAAAGCAGAGGCATGAAACCACCAGGCCAGCACTTTTCGGCCGATCGGATCTGGATGCCGGTCAGTGTTTGCTTCACAACCGAAGCCGGGCTGGAGGAGAGTGGCCGCCAAATTTGTCGAAATCGCGACATTGGGGCTGAAAAGGCTTGATTGAGAGCGCTGGTGCAGATAAACCATGGTGTATGTATCTATATATATATATATGTACATATAGATATTTCTAGATATATACAAATACACATGTAGTATATATATATATATATTTGCATGTACACGCAGGGCAACCGAGTTTTGATCAGACCATTCGCTGTTCCAGCGCAGCCGAGGAGCTCTTCTTTCGAGCCTTCGGCGGCTTTGGCGGCATGAGCGTTCTCGCAATGTCTCACCTGTCTGGCGCGAGTGGCTGTGGGTCAAAACCAATGGTACCATTTTGGGGTGGGTGCACCACCCAATTTAGAACCTATTTTAGTCCATACCCAGTGGCAGTGGCCGAGGCAAGGTATCTCCTACCTTTGGCACACCTCTCTATGCTCAGTGGCTATGCGGCTTGATTGCTGCGGTGCTGGCGATCTTTGTGCCAGTCTTCTTGGCCGCAGTTCAAGCACACTTTGCATGGCTGAAATGAGTCGGCACAAAGCTTTGTGGTTTGGGGTTCAGGTGGAACGACTTGTCTTGTTCCTGAACATCGGCGTGCTCTTCTCGTACACAGTAGTGTCTCGGATGAGAGTTGAAGTGTGCTGACGCTTCCTTTGGTCTGGCTTGAACTGGTCCTGAGGGTTGGACAGGATCGCGATGGGGGCAATGAGCTTGCTCGTGCCTGTAAAAGACATCCCATCCTTCCTCATTTCTCAAATGCCCCATGCAATCAGGACCCTATTCGCTTGGGGGTCCATTGATCAGCTTTCCGCTGTTCTTTTATCGTGGCATTCCCATATGTAGAGGACCTTCTGTGACTGGTTTGTCAATAAAGAACACTTTCGGACAGTTTACAAACCTTGAGGGTGTCCAATCCCTATGTTTGGTTCCGTTCGCAAACCTCAAGGTGTGTGCCGGAGTCCTGGTTCTCCGCGCAGAGTACCCCGACAAAGCGGCCAAATGGTCTGTGCTGGTGAGCCTTGGCGGCGGCATCGGTTTTGGTTTCTTTTTGGGTTGAAACAACCTCAAAAGAGTGCCTCCCTGAACAAAGAACCATTCATGACATGGTCTCTCTCGCTCGCTCTCTGTCTCTCTCTTTTATTGGTGTCCGCGCATCTCTCGGTCTCGGTGGTCTCAGTCCCTTGAGTGCCGATCTTCGCGGCGCGAAGCTCCATGAACTTCAGATAGCCCGGAGGGCTTTGAGGGTCCGCCCAATGTCAAGCAGTTGATGAGGGAAATTAAGCAGATTGACTTGATTCAGTTGGCAAGGACCTGTTTGGCGGTGGCAGCCTCGCTGTGCTCTTCATTCATGTCTCTAGCTTAGCTTGACGGGATGGAGGAAACCATCCGTCACGTGACACGGTTGCCGTGAGAACAAATGTTGTTGGAGGGGTTCACTGTCGTGACCCACAAGAATGAGTTCGGCCTAAGATGCACGACACACCAAATACACACACAAATGGGCGACAGTGATAGAGCAAGTACTAAGTGCTGCACAAGACATTGCCTTGTCATGCCGACCCCCGTGGTTCTCCGACAAGTCAGTCCATCGTTTGGTTCGACCTTTAACGTGTTTGTTTTGTTCACCGCGTGGGGCCCCCGCTTTCAGAACCCGGCACAATGTGGCTGCCATCGCCGCGACAGTGGTCCTGGCTTTGCTGGCTGCCTGGCTTGAAGCTGCCGACAGCGCAGGTTTCTGGGGACATGACTTCAAGCGCCTCTATTCTGGGGGTGTCTTCTGTGGAGGGTATCCCATGTTTGGTGGTTTGAAAGGGACACCAAGAGGAAAACCACCATTTTGAGGGTCCCCTAAAAAAAGACACCCATTCATATATTTGGCCCGGAAAGCGGTCTCAATGAGGTGAAACTGGACACAAATCACCATGTAAACGATACCCACCAATTGGTCCGAACAATCAAAGTGTACTTCCATTTGCTTAAGAACATTTCTTGTTTTCCCCTGTTGGTGTTAAAGGGAATCTATCACTGGATTTGTTTTTTCCAGGAGCCTTAGTCAAATGGAAGTGCTTTTCTCTCCCCCACCGCTTTTTTCTCCAATGGAGTTGAGACACTTCCACCTCCCAGGCCTCACTGCCCCCTCCACTTTCACCTCTTTCAAAGGAAAACCAACAGGAACATCGAAGCCATCTTGGGTCCCCTAAACAACTTGCGGTGCGGGGGGATGTCCCCTGGAAACCATCCCCCGATTTGGTTCCTTTCTTCCGGAATCCGACCAAAGCCTCCCAACACCCGGACTGGGTCATTCGAAGGAAAACGCTGAAGAACGACACCCACCTCTAAACCAGCCAGAAAAAGACACCCTCTCAGGCTCCCAGGCCTCACTTCCCCCTCACCCACTTTCACCTGCTTCAAAAAGGAACACGAAGCCAGTTGGATGTCCGACTCCACGACCCCGAGGTGGCCGCCTGTTGGGTTCCCTTCTTCCGCTTCGGGTACTCCAAGCCCAGCACCTTCGCGTGCCCCGGGTGCCCCGCGGTGCCGCTACTGGGGCTCACGGTGAACGGCTACCTCTTGTCCCAGTGCCACTTGCTCATGGCACTAAATGGGTATGGGTCAAAATTAAACCGCCAGGAATTGGACCGCAGGTTTGAATGTCCATGTTTCCATTTACCAGGGCAAGCCATTTTGGGTATCTATTTTTGATCCACAGCCAAATGGCTCGGTCGTTTTTTGAGTTGGTTCCCCCCCTTTTTGGGCGGGTTTAAAGGGAAACCACCAGGACACCTGTTAAAATGGGTCTGTCGTTTTTTGAGTTGGTACCCCCCCTTTTTTGGCGTAGCTCGCAAACGGGTGTACGCCGGGAGGCCCGCACACAGACTCGCATCAGTCCCAGTACCTTGAGGGAACCCACTAGTAACCCCGCCATTTCTTTTTTTCGGTCGGGGGACCGCCATGTCCATGGACGACTCTTTTTGAAGAATGATGTTCAAGGGAAACCAAAGGGAACACAACCATTCCGTGGGTACCTGATTTGGAGACCCACCCGTAAAGGTTGTGTCCTGTCTATAGCCAAGGGCTGCAACAAGGCAAGCGGGTTTCATCCCGGGTCTCCACCCTATGGGATTCCCTGGACGTCGGCGGATAGGGTATGACCACTAATTTCCGTGGTTGGTGGACCTCCCGGTAGTTGGTACAACCTCCAGGCGGTTGTCGGACTTGTTTCCCTTGAAACCCAGAACTGAACCCATCCAAACTGGGTTCAATCCATTTTGAGACAGATATTTTGTGTGTTGCTTTTCAGGGAACACCCAACAATTTTGGGGTGCAAAGGGACACTAACCTGACGCCGAGGCATTCCCATTTTTGGGGGGGCGACGAATCCGTATCCGTTTTCGGGCAAGCCACATGGCAATGGAACGGGGGGCTCCAAGTCTCAGAGCAAGTTGCAAACATGTAGGGGTTGTCTCCAAAAACACAAATTGGCACCCTAAGAATTGAAATCCGAGTCGATAGGTTCGTCTCGAACAAATATTGGAGCCCTGAAAATACCAGATTGCTCTTTCTCCTGGGTCACACCTCAACACGCCCAACCGATGGCCCCGTTGGTCGGGGTTCCGTGAGGTCACTGGCAAGCCTGGCTGCGGCTTCTGGCCACCACGGTGGTCATTCTGCTGGGCTACGGCGTCCGCGTGCGCCGGACCATGCAACAAGGCCCGGCTGAGTCGGTCCGTCCGGGTCGTTGGACTTCCGTTTTGGTCGTTTTGGTGACCCGTTTTGGGTCGGGTGCCGGGGAAGGCGAGAGCAAACAAATTGGGTTGCAGAGCAGCTTTTTGTAAATATGTCCGAGGGTTCGAACAGTTGAAACGTAGAGGCGGAGATGTTTTTGGGCTCTTTCCAGCATGGTTCCAGGTCGAGGTTTGTTTTCTTCGAACGCACTCGTAAGGAAACAACATCTTTAGTTTCTGGTGTTGAGAGTCCTAGATTGACGTTGATTTGACGTTTCCCATGTTTTAGGGGCTGGCCTCGCGCACGTTGCCACGGAACTCAGTAAAAGTTTTCAAGAGGAATCCGAATCGGGGAGACTTGATGCGAGGGTCGACTTCAGCACATTCAGACAAGGACAAATGTAAGAGCATTTTTGACAACCGCCGCAACAGGCTTGGCAGTTCCCTGGTGACCCCAGAGTGTTGGGCGAGCCATGCCCATCAGGAATATCACGGTTTATAGCCATCTTGGTGGAGGACTCCAAAGAGGCAGGGGACAATCTAGTCTATGGGTAGGTTTCAAAAGGGTGCCATGTGTTTTCAGGATGTTTTTCCCGCTGGATTGTTTTTGTTTCTTTTCCCCCAGTCTCCTTGCGAGCGAGCAAGCAAGCAAGCAAGCAAGCGCCCTCATATAGCTCTTTTTTTGCTAGTAGACGCCTACCCCGAAACCACCTTCACCTACCCTAAACCAATCCTAATCCACCCTAACCCCCAAACCAACCCTGCACCCTGAAACACTCACCCCAAACTACCGACCGAAAACCTACCCCTAACCTACCCTTAACCTACCCCTAACCTACCCCACAATAAACCCCCCTCCCCCCCCCCCACCCCCTAAACCCCAAACCCCAAACCAACCTTACCAGCACCTACCCTAAACTCTAACCCCAACCCGAACCCAGCCTGGACCACACTAAACCCACCTTAAACCTGAACTATAATTACCAACCCTGCACCACCCTAAACCGACCCAAACCGACCCTGAACCCAATGCAAACCCACCGGAAAAGAATCCCACACATCTCGGAAAGCACGTTCCCGACAAAAAAAAGGTCGGGCCGTTTGACCGGTCGACTCGCGCAGGTCAGGAGCCTGATTTGTCCCTGTCCCTGGCTCCCATGGACTGAGAGGATGTGGGCGCATGAAGCCCACGGCTTGTGTGGATTGTCGCCAAAAATGGGGAGGTGGGACCCATGGTGGTTTCTTGCTGGTTGCTTGTTTGTTTCTTGTTGGTTTCCTTTTTAGAACAACTGTAAGCAGGGTAGCCTCAAAATAGAGCCACCCCATGCGGCCAAAGACGCCCCGTGGAGACTCCCCGCGACCGCCGCGACGGTGCAGCATCGTTGCCGAAAATTCGCGGCTGCTCGCTGGTAAGGTGCCAGGTGGAGACCTCGGCGCCTTTTGCGAAGCGACCCATTTGGCTGTAGGTCAAAACCGGTTTGGTACCGTGTTGAAGATTTTGGGGTAGGTGCGCGACCCATTTTAGAACCTATTTTAGTGGGGGGTACGGGATTTTGACCCATGGCCATTTGGTTATGGGTCAAAATTCAACCAGGAATTGGACTTCAGATTTTGTTTCCATTTGCCAGGGCAAGCGATTTTGGGCACCTATTTTTGACCCACACCCGTTTCAATGGTGTCTCATGAAGACACACGGAGTGATTGTGGCAATGGTGTTCTTTGATTGGCTGCTGGGCAAGTGTCAATGTTTGCCTTGAACATCATCCACCGTGAGGGTGATAGAGTTTGAAAGGCGGCGATTCCAGATGGGTGTGTCTTTCTTTTGGGACCCACAATGAATTGTAGTTGTCCTTTTGGTTTCCCTTTTAAAGACACCAAACAAAAGGTAGCTTCAATCAAAGAATCACCCATATGATCTAGTGCTGGACATCAAGTTTGCTTGGATTGGTGCAGCATGTTGCTCAGAGTTAGCTTGACTCGACGGATCTCTGTTTGGCCCTCATCCAAAGAAGCCACCAAAGCTGTGGGCAGATGCAAGCGGCCCGGAGATGTGGTGAAGATCCTGAAGGCCGCGGAGGCGCACTGAACCGACCGTTTAAAGACCTTTTGCCAAACGAACGGTGGGAAAAGCACCAGCAGACAAAACAACAATTTGCGGCCGGGGGTCTGATTCTGGCCAAATTGTGTGGTCAGTTTTTGTCGGCTGCTGGCAAAATAGTGGGGTCCATTTTTTACCCTTGGGTGAACATGAGAAACACATGGCTAGATTTATGTCCACCAACATTTTTTTTTGAGTGGAACACACTTTAGTTCCCAACCAAATGGGAACCAAAAGGGCAAATCAAAAGTGTCTTTGTCTCATGGGCTTGTTTTGTCTACACTGATAGTATATGAGCGATTGCCTTTGTTTGCAGACGACTATAGTGAAGGCCGGGCGCACATATGTTTTGGGTAACGTATTGAATTATGTGCAAAATGAGGAGGAGGCAGAGCCATATAGGTGGTCGAGATCACAAACACGTGCGGCGTTGGAAAACGAGGTCAATGTGTCCAAGCAGGTGCAGGGTTGGAGAAGGTGGGAACACCCACCCGACCGTTCAACCATGTAGCAAAAAGCTGCTGTAGCTCATATAATCCCCGCTCCCCGCTGAAGGCCCTACCATTCCACAGAGGGGGTTGGGTGTAAATATGATATATGTATATATATATATACATATACACAAGTGTATATATACATATATATGCACATGGGTCTGTCTGTTTTTGGACCCCCCCAAAACAAAAAGAGTGGTTTCCAGTGGTTTCAAGCAACCCGTGGGTACCCTTCAAAAAGACAAGCTACACATATATATATATATATACACACATACATATACATATGACATATATATATATATATATATATATATACACGCATGTTTTTGCATAAATCCACCAGCAAAGCGGGGGCAGGCGGCTCAGCTCACAGACGGGGTGCTGTGTGCGGCAGCTCTGCACCGCCTGGGCGCCATCGAGAAGCGCTCCGAGGGCCCGGAAGTGGGCCTCGCATGGAGTCTCCGCTTGGGGGGGTGGGAGGGACCTCATAGGCGAGGTGTTCTTTTCAGGTGAGTTTGGTTAGAAGACGGGTTCCACTGGTTTTGATGGGCGTCCATTTTCAGGGTTTGGTTAGAAATGGACGGGTTCCACTGGTTTAGATGGGTTGCCATCTATTGGGGAAACCCATCTATTTCACTGAAAGGACACCTAGGGGTGGGCTTTTCCATCACAAGGGTGTTGGAAGTTGGGGCCCGGTTTTGAACTTCTTACCAAGGGAACGCTTTTTCTGGTAACCTCAACGGGTTTGGACGGGATTTCCCACCTCTTGACCTCCAACGGCCGAAATCCAAACCACCAAGTAGAGAGAGGTTGACACAAGGGTGTCGTCGCTTGGGCCAGTCTCTCCATTTTTTTTGTAACCAGGTTGACCATCCAAGAGAACCATCCACTGTTCTATCACGAAGTTGGTTGCTAGTTTTTCCCGGTTTCAGTGCTGTTTAAAATAAGCACCTTTTTGGTTTCCTGCTAGAGGGGACAGGGGGCTGGCTGTTTAAATCTGCGTATGCTGGTTGTGACCCATCTGATCGAAGGGCGCTCACTCCCCGTTTTCAGGTTGCTCCAAATGATTCTTGAGGGCTGCAGTAAATCCCCACCAGTTCTTAGGAGCTTTTGGGAGGGTTTGCAATATAGTCATCTTTTTGTGTCCTGCATATCATGTTCAGTCACGTTCGCACAGAGCTTTCGCAACAGGCTGATTTGGGAGGGTTGCACTCGGTGTCTATTGTACTTATTGTCGCACTCTTTCTGTCCTTTTCCCAGGTGTTTCTTCACTTTCAATGCATGAATGTCCCACAGATTCCGTGTTGGATGTGTCACGTTTGAGGATTTTCTCTTTGTTTTGGCAAATCACCCTTTCTATAGTTCCATAGCCCATGTGAAGACACACCCAGAGGGATTCCCCTTGAGGGGAGACAAATGTGGTGCGTCGAGTGATCGATTACTTTCCTCCCCACTAACTTGGCATTTGTGGGCACCTGGTCTTTTCATGTTGCTATCATGTTGCATCACCCAGTACCCGCCTGCAAATTGACATGGAGCACCCAGCCAAAACAAAGGTCCCCAAATGGAGTGCTACTCTGCAGGAGTGGAGCCAAATTTTTGGACATATATCCCCATGTAAATGATGTTCGCCTTTTGGGCCAATGTTAAGTGTCCCTTGGCCTTGGGGCGAGGTCTGTTCTTGAGGGTGCCACAGGAAAACAGGCCTTTCTTGGGGTCTCCCTATTTTGACGACCCACAATTCCACTGGTTTAGATGTTTTTTTGTTCCAGTTTCTAGGGGCACCCATGTATTTTCAGCCAAAAGGACACCTATGACTCACTTTCTGAGTTCCTGCACTTTATACTTTTTGGGAAGACCCATTTTAGTGGTACAAAATAAATTGCTTACTTTTGCTTTCCAAGCTACTCATGGTATGAATGAAGCTCGAAATAAACATGTTGGGTTCTTCCATTTGCTGCAATGAACATGTGTTATTTTCCGCTCTTGGTTTCAACTGGAACCGATCTTCACTGGACATATCTTCTCATTTGGTATCCCCTCTTCTGATTGTGTGGCTTTATGGCTGTGGGTCAAGAATAGGTACCCAAAATGGGGCCCTTGTCAAGTGGACACATGGACCACAACCTGCGGTTTTTCTGGCGGTTTAATTTTGATCCATGCCCATATGACCACTTATCCTACAGGTTTCTCTCCAGGTCCCCAGGCAAATATGAACATGTCTTACTTGCCCCTCTTGGTTTGAAAGGGAATCGATTTCACTGGACATACTGCGGGTGGACGAAATCCTGCACCTAAGAAAGCCTGGGATGATCACTCCCCTGTGAATACCAACAAACAATGGTTTCCCATGCTTGCACAGTGCAAGATAATGTCCACCCGCAGTAGTTCTCATGTTTTTCAGGTCCCCAGGCAACTCGGAAGGGTCCCCGGTCCCCCCCCACTGGATTGCGTGGCTTATGTGACTATAAGTTCCTACAGCTTAGAAAGGATTTACCTTCAGGCAAATATGAACATGTGTTCTTGGTTTGAAAGGGACTCCATTTCACTGGACACACTTCCTCATTCTCCAGGTCCCCACTCGACTCCCCTTGTCCCCCCCCACTCGCCACTCGCCACTCGCCTCGCGAGGAAGTTCGCGTCGCAGCGCGCTGCGGAGCACCTGGCCTCCTTCGGGACCCGGGAGCTGGCGGTGGCGGCCCTGGCCACGGCCAAGGCGCGGCGGCGGACGGAGACCAAGGCGGGAGGGAGGCGCCCGGAGGCGCCCCAAAAAACCCAACCCGGATCCCTCAAGTTTTGGCTTTGGGGTTTTAGTTTGTGCCTTTCCCGGAGACCTTGGATCCTGAAATTTGGCTTTGTGTTTTTTGGATTCTCAGAGTTTTGGTGCCTTCCCCTCTGAACCTTGGCAATAATTTCTCCCATCTTGGGGCTTTTTTTCGCGCTTTCGGGATTTGAAGCAGGCCCGGAGCCTTGCTGCAAGTTTGGGGCTTTTGGCAAACGCGCTTCTTCTATTGTCCCCCCCGGCTTGAGTCTGGGCTATCAGAACTCTTGAGGTGCATTTCTTGGAGAAGCTGCTGGCCAAAGCCGATCTGCCGGCATTTCCTTTGCGGCACTTGGCGAATTTGCTTTGGGCGGCCGCGGCGCTGCGTGCTGACGCAGCGCCCCTCTTCGCTTCAGCGACGCAAGCGGTTTCAAACGGGGAGCCCAACGCACGGGACGCCTCGCAGCTGCTTTGGGCCTTTGCCACGGCGCGGAAGTCGGGCCAAGAACTGCTGGAGGATGTAGCGCAGAGGCCACATTCCACCATGGCAAGCTTTGTTTGTTGTGGCGCCAATGGGGTATTCTGTCAGGCCCTGTGCACACCTGGATCCCCAGTTGCCCTTATCTTCAGCTACTTTTGCCAAATTATGGGCTACTAGTGGGTAAAGTGAAAAGTGGCTACTTGGGGATCCAGGCAGTGTCCACATTCGCGATTCGGAAGTGCGTCACCAGGAATCTCCAGGGCTTCAGTGACCACGACATGGCCACCACTGTGTGGGCCGTGGCCACCATGTCCTGCGCTGGCCCACGAGGCTCGCTGGTGCTCAGTGGGGAATGACAAGGAGTCTGGGTGGGAATGAATCGTTTGGTTCCCCAATAAGGGAAGCCACCAGTCGCATGGTTTGGGAATGAACCGTTTGTCAAGGAAGCCACTTGGAGGATCTATTTTTTGGGGTCATTCCAGCTCCATTCCCCGGCGAAATTTCCAGGATGGTTTGCTTTTCGGGGTCAGCCCAACTCCCTCATTCGGCCATGGGTCACCGCTCGCCTCGCTTGGAGCCCGGAGGCCAGGCCTTTGTGGGGGACCTGGCGGTCGCCGCCTGCGCCCGCACCGAAGAGTTCGCGCCCCAGGGGCTGTCGATGCTCCTCTGGGGCTATGCCACGCTGGCGCAGTCGCAGACAATCCCCGCGGCGCAGCTGGTGACGTCCTTGTGCCCAAAGGCGCGGTGAAGAACGTGCCGAACTGCCTAAATCACAATGGGGGGAAACCCAAAGGAAGACCCACTTTTGGGGGGTTCCCCTGTTTTGACACATGCCCAAATGGAGTTCCTGGGACGGCGCTGGGCTTTTGGAGGAGAATCACACCGACTGTTTGGAGTTGATGATATTATCCCATCCAAATACTTAAAAGATGCCAAGCCTCAACACGCACACTCTCAAACAACAGCACACACATGCACAGAGAGGCACAAACAAACACAGGCACACAAACAAAAAAACACCCAGTTGCTTGTTCCATAGTCCTTTTAGTAGGGGAAGAGTGGGGGGATGCCGAGGTGGCCAAAGACGCGAAGCTCTTCACGCCCCAGGGCGCGGCGAACATCTTGTGGGCGCTGGCCACGCTGGACGCTTCCATGACGGAGAGCGAGGCGGAGAGTGCGGAGAGCAAGGCGCGGGGCCTGGGTTGCTATGTGGCGATGGGAAGGCTCCACAAAGGGATCCCGAAACTGAGAAGACGTGGTTCCAAATTTAGAGGGGCCAATTGAATTGGAGAGCTTCTGGCTAGAGGGAGTGTAAGTTGTTTTGCTTGCATCGGGATGGCTGTGGAACAGTTCATACTGAGTGCATGCTTTTTGAGGGTAGTGGGAACCCCGGATGAATCATCAGTTGATTCATAGGGGGGTGTTCCTGGGTTGAGTGGGGAATCATCACGTTTGGTGCTGCAATTGCGCGCTAGCTTGGCTGCTTGCGCAGGCTGGCGCAGGTGTCACGGCTTTTGAGGAAGGCGGGACGTTCGCAGTGCGAAAAGAAGCACTGTGCCGAAAGTTCGGAACGCAAGTCGCCAGGAAGACTTTTTGGTTGTTTGTGGCTAGAGGGGGAAGCAAGCCAGACAAGGATGCGATGGAACGAACCATGCCCATTAGCCTGATTTTTTTGAAAAAATGAGATAGCCATCACGTCATACGATATTCATTTGAAAGGGGCCACGACCATTCCCCACTTCATGTGCTTTGACCATGGCACACATGCTGGAACCTGCCTACTAGCGTCTTATCGGGGATGGTAATACAAGCCTCATGCGTTTTCGCCGGCTTGTACCTTCCCCATTTTTCCAGGTTTGTATCTTCCAGGGTTTAACAGACCTCGCATGTCCTCATACTGATGAACCTGGATCTCAGAAAGCTCAGCATGTTAGACTCACTTCCTGAGTTCCTGCACTTTAGTCACTGCTTGAGTTTGGACCATTTTAGTGGCCTCACAAACCGTTGGTCTAGGAACAAAAAGGGTTGACCTTCTCTTGCTGATGCTTAGCAGGGAATGAGTTGGAATGCCCGGTATAAACCATCCAACTGGTGGTTTCCTTTCAGTTGACCACGGGTCAAAGTCCCGTACCCCCAGCGAACATGCCAATCTCCAATGGGTGCTGCACTTACCCCAAAATGGTACCATTGGTTTTGACCCACAGCCAGTTGACCAAAGCCTTTTTTCTTTCCCCATTCCCCTGCTTACTTTTTCATGTTTAATTCCCCGAGTGGAAGAGGCACGTTCACTCGGCGGCCACAGAGTCGCAGGCGTTTGGGCCATCGAGGCGCTGTCTGCTTCGCTGTCAGAGCAGCTGCTGGCCTGCAACGGCCAGGACAGGTTACGTGGCATTTGGAGGGGCGTGTCTGGTTGTGAGTTGGGAATCCCTTCCCCTAATAAAAAACAACTGACAGTATTTGTTGAGGGGCAGTGGTAGTGGTAATCCCTAATATGCAAAACCGTCCCCCCCTGCCTTTAATATAGAAAACCTCGGAGGGAATGGTTTGACCTGCAGCGGAAAATGCTCAGTTTGCAACTGTTAAGTAAGAACTCTGGAAGGGACGTTACCGTTGTGAAGTTCTTGGGCACATAGCTTGGAACCTTCTTGTTTCAACACATTTTTGCCCCAATCAGCACATTTTGAGAGCTTGGTGGAAAACATGTGCGGTCTCAGGAGTTTAGTAGTGGTTTAGTATTGCCTAATTTAAAATTGGTATTTGCGATTCTTGACGCGGCTGAGGGGAGATTCATTCTTAGGGGTAGGTGGATTAATAGGAAGGAGGGATGATAGGCTTGGTGGATTCAAAGGCACCCCGTGTTTGGTGAGGGAAACCAGAAGGAAAACGGAAGCCATTTTTGGAGTCAGAAAGAAAAGACACACCCAAATATGTGGGGTTTGATGCAACCATTCGGGCATTCCAAGCAATAGAACTCATAGCCGCTTGTGCGCCACGAAGCGTCAACAGGGAACGGGCGGAATCAACAGGTCTGCCACACAAGGCATCACCCCCTCTTTGTTTTGGGAATTCGGCCTGCTGCAAAGTCGGTCACTAAGCATTGCCTCTCCAGGACATAGCCAATGCTTTATGGGCGCTGGCAAGCCTCGGCTATGATGGCACGGCGCCCGCGGCCTTGTTCCAGAAGGTCTCCTCTTGTTCTGCAGACTTGGCCATCTACCAGTTCACAGCTCCCGGGCGAAATCCCGGGCGTTTCCTCGGGATGTGCCCACGTCCAAGCAGTCAGCCCCATTTTCGCCCGCCTGAACATTGGGGACACTTTCATGTTCTTGTGCAACACAGTTACACGTAATTGAACATAATCCCCAAATGTCCACAGGGCCGCACTTTCTGTACCAAAAAAAGCGACGCACGACTTGCGAGGCTCAGAATTGCGCCAACATCCTCTGGGCCTTCGCGCGCCGGGGCCGCGAAAGCGGGTCACGGGATTTGGCCCTCGCCATCGCGGAGAGGGCGGCCCTGCTGAGCCACGAGTGGGACGAGCGACTCGGTCAGAGCTTCGGGGCCTTGTGGAGGTAAGCGAAGCCCCTTGCTGTGGCATCTGTTTCTTTGGTGAACGTCGGCCCCTTGGATGTTTGGTTTACAGAATGGAGAGTTCGGTTTCGGCGGGCACGTGTCTTTTTGTCGAAGCGCTTTTGGGGTGGAAGTTGGCATTGGTATGGAGAAAATGCCTTTTGGCACTTGGTGTTGGGTTCAAGTGTCCATGTTGACACCTGCGGAGTCCTAGGTGTTTGATATGGAGAGCCTCTCTTCGGGGTTTTGGTCCCATGCAGTGGGCATTCTGTATGTTTCGTCGGGTCAGATCTTTGGATTTGTGCGCTTTGTTGGTTTCCTCCTTCCGCTTTGGAGGTTGGGCAGTTCCATCCAAACCATGGGTAGACCGCTCTCCTTCGAATACAATGTCACGTATGTCCAGCCACGCGCATACTTTCGAAAATACAGTCCTAAGTAGCTCGCCATAAGGGCAAGTGGCGAAAATCCCGGACCACGCTGTCCCTGAGACACACACTTTTCCTTTCATATTCTTACCCGCCATCTCACATCGAGCTGCTGGATTCCTCACACCCCAGAGGCTCCTTTTTTGGAGGTCCGATAAATTAAGCTGTGACACCAACGTGAAAAATAGCCATATGTCAAGACACAATGGGCCCTTTCCGCCGGCCTTACGGTACTTAAAGGGAAACCAGAAGGGACAAGTTTGAGTTGTCCCCTCATTTTTAGGGCATCCAGATTCTGTTTCAGGAGCCGGTTTCCTTAGTCTCAAGATACGGAAACCAAACAAAACCCCTCTCAAAGTTCCTTGGGTCTCTCGATACCGCCCAAACCCAGCTGCCCAATGCAAGTACCAATTGTTTAAGGGTATATTTTGACAAGCCGCAGGTTTTCCAACAATTTCCGGGGTAAGTGCTTCCTCCCCCCCCCTCCCCGTGCCATGGACACTTCGAGTCAGTTTTACAGTTCCATTTGAAAGGAGGAGGTGCAAAGTAGATCTCCCAAGTGGCCAGCGGGATGTACTCCTCCCTTTAAAAAATCCCCCCCTCCTCTTAAATTCCTTCCCCCCCCCCCCAAAGAACAAGAACCTTCGCTTCTCCAATTTGGCCATGGGTCAAAAGCCCGTACCCCCAGTGAACATCCCAATCCAACCACGGAAAAATAGGTGATAAAATGGGTGAACTCACCTACCCACCAAAAGGGGATCCCAAAACGGTTTTGACACCCCTAAATTCCTTTCCCCCCCCCCTTTACCCCTTCCACCCCTCCACTCCACCCCTTCCTCCCAAAGAACACGAACCTTCGCTTCTCCAATTTAACCTTCCCTTGCCTCGCCCACCCCCCCCGCGCCCACCCCCCCTCGCCCACCCATTTCCCCCCTGCCCCCCCGTCGCAGGCAGAGCCTCGCCACCACCGTCTGGGCCTTGGCGGTGCTGGGCCAGCGCCCCGCCTCGCTGCCGCTGCTGACTTCGGTCACCGAGGAGCGCCTCGGCGCCTCGGACGCCTCGGCGCCGGCGGGTTGGCTATGGCTGGGAGGCTGTTGGCTATGGGTGGTTTTGGTTGCCACCGTTTTGTTTGTTTGGGGGGCGGTTTTTAAAGGGAAGCCCAAGGAGCCCCATTTTCTGGCGCTGTGAAAGGGAAACCACAGGAAGGCCATCATTTTCGGGGGTGCAGCAGGTGTTGGCTGCGAGTTGAGTTTGTCTGGTTTAAGGCATCGGTTTTCCTTTTTGGCTTCTCTTTTTGAACCAACCAAACAACAACAAAAGACATGTTTGTGTACTTTGGGTTGGGAAGCGATTTGGTGGGTTTCGGGGGCGGGGGTTCGACAGTTTGGAGGACCAACGCAGGGACGATCCGTTTGTTGCTTTTCTTCGGAGTTTTGGACGGGTTTGCACGGCTGAAGTCAGAACAATTGTCATACCCAAAAGCTTCCTGAGAGTTGGATCCTTCTTACCCATTAGGCCCGTGTTGACTGTGAGGTTGCCAGAGTTGCTTGGGATTAATTAATCCGCCTGCCCAACCTTGACGTCTAGTGCCCCAAGTGTGGGTTCATTGCCGGCCAAACGGCGTTGCCAACGCCGTTTCGTTTTTCTTTGATATGCTCTTGGGCGTGAACAGAGCCCCGCCAAGTAATCATGTGTAAGGGTATGAACCTGACATAGTAGCATGCCCCTGGAAGCTTGAGTGGCTTCAACAAGGACCCTGTACCGCCATGAGCTAGGAAATGCTGCCTTTTCTGACCGACTGGAAAGAGGTGTCTGCGGGAAGTGTGGCCATCGCAACATTTTTTCAGACTCGCAACAGCTTTGTGGATGGCAGGAGCTCCAGGACAATTGACATTTTGAGTGGAGCCTGGGTAGTTTTCGTTGTAAGTTGCTGTGTATCGCTATACGAGCCCCACCCGGAATTTGGTGAGGATGACAAGGGGGATATTTGGTAAGTGGTGCATTACGATGTCCATGTTGTTTGATTGGATTGCCCCCCCCCCCTGGCCACTGGGGTCCTTACTTGACGGAGGCAACTTCTCTGTGAGCAGCTTGTGCGTCCTGGTTTGGACCTGCGGCATGCTCGGGGTGGCGGACCATCCCACCTTGCTCCTTGCGGTGCTGCTGCGCAAAAAGTCCCGGGACTTAACCACGAGCCAACTGCTGGCCACGGCCCGAGCCTTTGCGTCGATTTGGCCAACATACGCAATGCCTCGTCTCACCGCGAATTTTCATGAATCGATTCACAGACATGAGCGGCCAAAAGAGTGACCTCCCAAGCTATTGGATCTATGAATGTATAGCCTTGCATCAGGTCTGGAAGGTACATGGCTCGGTTTGATAGGCAGAGGAAGGGCTGTTCGAACATGTCAAAGAGGAGGCGGTACCTTTGACTCTACGGCCTCGGGAACGTGGCTGGATGAAAACAAAAACAGGTCGCAAGTGTCGATTCAAAATAACACTGGTTGTGGGTGGGCGAGGTTTTTTCTCCTGACTATTTTGTCGTTTGTATTTTTTAAATATCTCGATGTTAATTATAGGCTGAATTGCTTGTTATATCATATTATATATATTGAATTATATATAATTATATTTCTTATATTTGAATTATATTAATAGATAGATTTATAATAATTGTTAAAATTAAGTTTTGATATATATTATGTATTTGTAAATTAATGTTGTTTTAGATATAAAGATTGGTATTACAAATAATAATAATAATAATTCTAAAGATAATTGTTTTGAAGAAAGAATTAAGAATTATGAATAGATAGAAATAATAATTTAGCGAATAAACATATGTTTTTGTTAAACATGTGAAGTTATATTTTTTATATATTAAATGATGGTTTTTTGTAAGTTGAATGAAATTTGGTTATCTAGTTTTAAATAAATAAGGAATTATAAACATTTAATTTATTTGTTATTTTAAATTAAAGATTTATATAGAATATTTTGAATGATATATTGGTTATATAAATTATTATAAATATATATATTTGGTATATTGATATATAAATTTGAATTAGGGATTCAAATTAAGTTAAGCATTTGTTATTGAGGAAATATATATATATCTAATTGTGCTTATTTGATTATATTTAGAATGAAGAATTGATAACAAACTCATTTATATATATATTTATTTTTGGATTTAATAAATATTATAAAATAAAAAATATATAATATATTTTAATATTAAATTCTTTATATTTAATATTAATTTAAATGAATAACTAATATGGCAATCAATTCTAAATATTGTTTGATTCGATTATAAACAAACATTTGGATATTATTTAATTAAAGATTTTAATTTTCCCTCCCATAAACCCCTCGTTCGCAAAAGCCGGTAAAAATTCCGGTCGTCGTTAGCGGTAAATATGGCGGTTTGTATTCGATAACGAATAAGATATAACAAAGGATTTATAATGGGGTAGTTGTTGTTATGCTTATAAATATTGTTCTAATTGCCCTTGGTAAACGAAAAGGATTTCGTAAAAAAAATTAAATCGAATAGAAGAAATCTAATTATGAATAATTTTTAAGAATTAATGAGAGTCGTCCGAAAGGTCCTTATATTGAGCTATGAAGGGGAAGACCTTTTGGTCTTGGCGTTGACCTCCGCGAAAATTCCACGAAGGGGGTCGCGAAAATTATTATTTTTTTCGCGAAAATTTTGTGTAAGGGTGTTGGCTTGCTAACAGGAAGCTGGAGTGATGAACCATGTGTATTTACCGGCAATGCGGGCAGAATGCCCGCAGACCAAAGTTGGCCGGGGAATGCGCAGCCTGAGGGTCGTCGCAAGAAAACGCCGCTGCAAAAGCAAGCCCCAGCCAGCAGAAACCGGCTTGTGGGAGTTTTGAGGTTTTTGGGTCAAGTTGAGTGCAACTTCCAGCCGGATTTTTGCGAATGTTTGGCGTAAGATCCACGAAAAATTCGCGAAAGTCGACGGACTTCTTCGCCAATTTCCGGACATGAGGCCAACGGGTCTTCTCGTGTGCAGGTAATGAGCTGGAGCTGCGGAAACGCGTTTCGCGTACTACTTTGGAACTGAATTCGAAAGGTTACGATTTTCGAGCAAGGGGGCTATGGAAGCTTACTTTGTGTACTACTTTTGTGTTAGAAAGCTTTGACTTTCGAGGCTGCGTAAGTTTAGTTCATGTACTACTTTCGTATTGAAAAATTGCGATATTCAAGCCGGACTGCGGAAGTTTACTTTGTTCCTTTTGTATTGAAAAGCTGCGGCTTTCAAGCTAGGGCTACGAAAGTGTATTTCGTGTATTACTTTTGTGATGAATGTTCTGAAAACAGCCCCGCGAAAGTTCCGCGATGGGGTCCGCGAAAGTTAAGTTTTTTCTCGCGAAAATGGCGATTTCTGGAATAAGGAATTTTAGATAACTATCTAATACAATCCAGAATAATTCGAGAAATTCAAGTTTTAAGCTAAATACATAATACCAAAATCTCGAAAATATCCTTTTGTTATCATTTGTTTTTTTATATCATTTCTTTTCGACCAGGTAAAATTAAAATCATTTCTGGAAATAATAATATTTTATTGATCGGCGGAAAAAATACAATAACCATAATATTAATTAAAGAAATATATAAATTCGATAATACTAATTAGATAAATACAAGGCCATTTCGCCGGCAAATCAAATCGCTTTAACAAATTATATCATTTCGTTAGCAAATTATACAATTTTGAAAATAAATATTGGAATGTTACCGCGTCCCGATTTCCAAAATATAAATATAATATGCAAAATTGAATTTTATTATTTAATTTTACAATATAAATTAAGGAATATATGCAAATAGACCCAATTTATATTATAAAGAAAATCAAGAAATCTGTTTGTGCTCCATACATAAGTGCTAACAACTTGAAATAAGCTTTAACAAAATAGAAGAACCACAATAATTTTTAGAAAGAGATATATATATATATATATTCCACCAAATTTATTTAAAATAGACTAATATATAATTTCGATTTATATAAAAAACAAATAATTATTCCCGAATTTATGGATATTTTTCCAAACGTTTCTTTTTCCTGTTTTTTTTTCTTTTTGTTAAGTCTATTTTGCTATTATAATCAGATTTCTCTCTTTCTTCTTTTCTTCTGTTTTTTGTTATTCTATTTCTTTTATTAATTTCTTCTCTTTCTCTTTCTTTTTCTTTATCTCTTATTTCTTGTATTCTTTCTTTTTTTTAAAAACATTCTATCTCATTCTTGTTTTTTATACATGTTTTTATTTATTTTTCTCCTGCTCTCTATACTAAGCCCAACAAAAAACTATACCTAAAATTCAATTTATACTTAACCTCATGAAAATGCGATATCCACTTCAAAATCTATATTTATTCTTGCTAAAGTGCTAGCTATTACGAATCTCTACCCGATCTTTTTTGAGTAGTATGACTATTATACAATAAACTATTATATTATATTTAATTCGGATACCCTAGCAAAATCATATCTAATCTAAAGCTTACAATAATTTTACATTACCATTATATAAAGAATATATCAAAATCATAAATATTAAGATAAATCTGCCAAATACCTATATATGCCTTTATATATATATTTAATTGTTCTTTTTTCAATAAATATTTATAAATATTGTTTTTATATATATTATCTAATTAATTATAATTATTCATTTATATAAACTAATTTTCAATTAATTTCTATATTATATTCGTTTTTAAATTTCCATTAATAAAAAAATGTTAAACCGTCCTAACTTATATTAAATTTATATTAGTTTGGATTCACAAATAAAATAATCATAAAAAAACAAAAAACAACTATTCAAAAAAACAAGACAATTATATTAATTAAAGATATTCAAATTCCATAATTTAAAACATAATCAAATCATAAGAACATCCAAATCAATTTTAAATCATTCAAAATAGATTATATATATTCTAAAATTAATCCAAATAACCAATTTCCAATTCCTAATTCAATAAAATTATATAAAACTATATAATTTAGAATATATTTAATCTTATCCAACCCATTTTATACCTATATTTTCTATTATATATATATATAAATAACCAACTATATTATGCTTTAAATTATTTTATCATTTCAATTATCCGCCGACATTCTTCGGCATATCGAATATTTACTAACCCATAAAGCAATACCCCCCCTTACCCCGCCCGATGTCCAATACGTAAGGGTAGGGAGGGGGGGAGAATCCCCACATACCGTGCGGCAAATTAATAACGTTCCACTAAACGTAATCTTCGGGGAGCCAATGTCGCAAAACGGGGGTCCCAAACCTAACCGCCGGCCTAAACGGGGTTCACGAATTAGGAACTCGTTCGCAGAAGCAACGTCGTTCGCGACCTGCATCTAGAGGCTCCTCTCTCGACTACGTTAACCAACGGTGACGATATATTAAGCATCATAATGAATTACTACTCCATAGCAACAACGGACGCGGCCCTCGTGACGGGGGGCTATTAACCTACTACATCTCCGCGCAAATGGACGCACTATTAATCAACTGCCGAACGGGGACGGCGCAGAATGCAGAGACGACCAGCGTCGTCACAGCGACTTTGCGGGGTTGGCCGACTACCCAACGGCGAGCGCCCAAGGCACCCAGACGTAGACTGCCATTGCGAACGCGCTACTGGCCTACCGGACGGGAGCGGGCCAAGGTCCCATCACCACCAAACAAATCATTTCGGCGCTGGTGGCGTATCGCTCAGCGGCCGACCAAGACACGGCGAGGGTCTCGAGCATCGCTGCGGCCCTGCTCAGTTGCTACGCCATCGTGCAGGTAGACAGCCTCCTAACCGGCAAGCTCGGAGTCACAAAGACAGTATCGTGGGTCCGGACGACGGCGACGCCAACGAGATCGCAGAGACCATCGGGGAGTAAATTCTAAGCCCCCATAAACGTCTTCCTAGCGTCCAGCAGCGACTTTTACATGGTCTTGGTTTTCTCAAGGGGGATTCAAGCGTCGATAATTATATTAATGAATTTCCGACCCGAAATCTGGAAAATTCGATATTTTTGGACGTAATCATATATATTTTTGCGGGACATATTAAGAATCAAAACGGAAATATAAAAACATACAAATACATATAAGAAATAGAAAAAGAGCGAAAAAAAACAAAATAATAAAGGAGAACTAAAAAAAATATTAAAAAAAAATAAATAAAAAAGAGGTAACAAAGAAACGAACCACAAAGAAACCAATCGATAAAAGAAGCATATCAAAAAATAATCCGTAATACAAAAACAAAACATATATTTTTTTTAAAAAAAAATATCGAGAAGATATAAAAGAGAATTAAAATTATATAATAAAATATTATATAAAATACAAAAAACAAATAAAAAAACAAATAATTATAAAGTAACAATTCAAAATCATAAAAACCACATAATAATCGATTAAAAAAACAAAAAACAAAACAAGCTTCAAATTAATCAATAGAATAAAATTTAAACAAAAAAAACATAATACATTATTTAATTCAAATTTATCTCTTTTCCATAAAAATATATATATATAAAAACAAACATAAATAAAATCAAATAACACAATTATATAATATAAAAATTCAAGAATATCGAAATATATATTAACATTATATATTTATATTCTTCATACAATTATATTATATATTATTTCAATAATTACCATATTATTATTTTTAAATTTACAAATAATCCTATCAAACAATTATCAATTTTATTATTCAATAATCAAAAACACAATTCAATAAATATTCACTCTCTAAAATCAATCCAAAACATTAGATTAAACAAACAACAATACTAAATTCCAAAATCTAATATCCATTCCAATCATTTTATTTATTCCCCAAATAGCTGAAAGCTATAAATATTCCAACTTCTAAAAAAGAAAAGAACATGATTTGCGAGATTGATGGGTTGGTGCTAGGGGGCGTGCAGTTTAGGGTGCTGGTGTAGGTGCTAGTTGGGATTCTGTTGGAAGTGTTAATAGCAGTACGGGCGTATCTTTTCAAGATTGACGGTAGGGTGCCAAGGGGCCATGAAGTTTGGGATGCTTGTGCAGGTGCTGTTTTGGGGGGTGACGGTGCGCGCGTATTTTTTTCATCTTGACGGTAGGACGCAGGCAGTTTAGGGTGCTAGTGCTAATAATGCTGTGGGACGCAGTTTGTGGGGAGTTATTTGAGGTGCTGGTGACGGAGCGCCCACTGCTCGGGTGCTATCGGGCATGCAGGTGACGATGCAGGCGCATGTTTGCATCTTGACGGTAGGGTGCAAGGGGGGCATACAGCTTAGGCGGTGGCTTGGGATTCTGTTTGGGGTGCTAGTTGATTGTCGCAAGATTGACGGTGTCTTGGGGGGTGCTGTTTGGGGTGCTCTTCAGGGTGATGGTGCGGGCGCATTATTGCTCTATTGACGGCCGCGTTTTGTTTTGGGGCGTTTTTCAGGGGGGGTGCTTTTGAAGGTGCTGGTGTGCAAGCACTGCTATTTGGGGTCTATCTATGCTGGTGTATTTATATATATGTATGTATCATCTTTTGCTTACCAAGGTGTCGAAAACTCAGTAATACATTGCCAAGCCCGCAGCACTTACACTCTGACACTTGCTTGGCCTATCAATTTTACGACGCAAATCTAGTTCATGAGAGTTCCAGTCAACAAACAACTGTGACGACCAAGACAAGAAACCTGTTAAAAGCCCAGTCAACTACACAGCGCTGCAGTTCGAACCATAAACAGTACCAATCACTGTCAATTGCTAAAAAAAAGATTCCACTAAAAACAAAAAAAAACGCACATTGTCAGAACCCTGTTGCCACTGCCATGACAACCAGAGAAGCGATGCTGGCCCAATCCAATCAAATGAACTTGATGTGGTGATCCCCTGCTGCAATTCAAAACATCAGGCGACTTTCCAACATCAACTCACGTCTAACGTCGCAACGTGTCAGAGGTAGGCCGAGGTGAGGAATAGGCGTCCACTGCCTCACTCCTCGCCCAGCACTGTGCAATATGCCGATGGTGCCAATTTTGCAAATGGGCTCACGCTGGTGCGTGTATGACACTTTTGAGGCGTTGATGCAATTGAATAAACGCCTCTGCACTTTGTGTGACATGCTGTGGACCACACTCGTGGCTCTTTTAAGAGGCGGCCTCAAAATGGCTGCTTTCAACTTTATTGATGATGACCGTGCCAAGCAACACCAAGTCAACTACTCGTACCATGCAACATATGGGCCTGCGCGCCTTCAGCGCAGCTGGACGGCCACAAAGACGAAACAAAGGCTTCTTTCACCAATGTATTACTTGCCCAAGGACCACTTCCTACTCTTCGCACTCGAACACCTCCAAGGTCCCAGGTGTGGATACGGCAAAATTTTCGGGCCATGGACTCTTCGTACGGCTAAGAACGCTCAACAGTTTGGGTCAGCGCCGCTGCCACAATCTCATTGACTGATTCCTCTGGGGAGACCATTAACTCATCCCAGTATGCAAAGATCAAAAAGGGCCAATCATGACTGACAAAAAGCACCTCTGCAGCACGCAGACACCTTCCTTATCCTTCTGCATTGAGCAGTGCTGGGCGAGAAAGCGAGGACAAGCATTCGTCGAATTGTCCGGGGCCTGATCTGAATCAAATGCGCTGTGTGAAGGAAATAATCGTCCCACAAGTTGCGCTAGCATCCAGAAGGTTTAGTGAGTGGTCAGTTTGTAGCCGGCTTGATTCATTCTCCGCAAGCGAAATGCAGACCCGCGTGGACTGTGGCTTGCCCTCTCAGAGTCAGCCAAGTAGTGGCTCTCTCTGAAATAGGCGCCCGAACCGGGCCGAGGCCCAGCCGCGATCTAAGCTTGAGACGGCGCAGCTCTGATGGCGAGGAACCAGTAGATGTACGGTGGATGCCCTAAGTATTGCAAGGGACCAAGGGAAACCCTGTAAATTACCATGGTTTGTGCTTGGTTTACTTGCAATAGTTAGGGCATCCACCGAAATGCCAAGCTGTACACGTCATGGCAGAAGTCTCAAAAACTATCCCAGTGGACTAAGCTGATTTGAGAAATCTAGGGTTCACTCCCCAAACATACAACCAACTTCAAGCAATTTTGTTAGCTTTCTTTCCAGGTTTCATGGTTGCAGTGAACGCTTTTCGGGAAATCGAAGCCCTTGCCGCTGCGTCGGCTCCCTGGGTGCAGCCGACTGCGCCCCGGGTGAATGGGTGGTGAAACGCAAGCGGGACAGTGGCAGCCGAATCCCTTTCTAACGTCATTCGGACTGACACAAAGCCTATCCACAAGGCTTGATCTTGCCAGTGGCCCGCGCGATGACTTCTACGCTGTGTTCGCCCCGTGGTTTGCGAACGTTGGCGAAGACGCTAGTGGTGTTATCTGGAACGGGTGGGTTGGCCGGAACCTCGCCAGGATTGGTCTTCAAGCTTTGCGGCAGGCGCAGGAAAAGCTCGTGCTGTCAATGCGCTCGCGGCAGTGTGGGCAAACACACCACACTCCAGTGGGGACTTTGGGATCAAGCTTCACATGAGCAACCAGGCACTTGAAGACGCTTCCCGTCGAGCGTTCGAATTCAGGAGCCAAACCCATTCTTTCCCAGAAGGGAAACACAGAAACGCGGCGCTGCCTGCAGTACTCCAAATGAACGTGTTGTGATGCTTTGTTGTCCCGCGCGAAGAAACTGGAACATTCTGTGGACAAAACGTCCTACTGCAATATTCAGGGGGTTTCATCCCTCCCACGTGCAGGATGTTGTCCATCCACAGTATCAAGCCAAACATGTGTTACCCTTTATGCCAGAAGGCACGCTGACCAGCAACAATGCCTGTTATGCTGCAAGGGCACTCACAGGATCAGTTATGAGATAAATAGGCCTTGATAGTTTTCAGGTGTGTAAGGAGACATGGAGATCAGCATGCAGCACTACATTCACTCGTAACAAGTCTGACTAAGTCTGCAATGAACCCATAAGGCGCTCATCTTGTGAGCATATAATGAAA